ACCCATCTTGCTAGAGGGGAATTTGCCAGCTTATGAACATTAAAAGTCAATAAAATATTGAAGCAATAAATGTTTGTAATAATTGTAATAATTTACAATTAAAAAGGGGGAGGAAGGGATCAGGGTGCACATGGGGGAAAGGTGAGGTCTTGTCTTAAGTCCCTCAGCCACCTCCAGCTTGACACGTTCCTATTGGCCGACTGGCAGAGCCAGGTCTTCAAACCCTTACAGAAAGTCAAAAGGGTAGGTGCAGATCAGTGGTGGGATTCAAATATGTGAACAACCAGTTCTGTGTGTGGATGGCACTTCTGGAAGCCAATTCTGGGCCTGGGCAACAAAAAATTAGCTATTGGTTCTGCTGAAGTGGTGCGAACTGGCTGAATCCCACCACTGGTGCAGGTCTCACCTCGGAGGCCACAATGTTCCAAAAGGCAAGAGCCAGGACAGCCGAAATTCCTTGACCAATGGGGTCCCCAGCATGCCTCTTCTACTGGCACCGGTGGGCTGAGCTAATCCCAGAGGGGAGAGATGGTTCCTCTGATAGGTTTTTTTTTTATAGATCCTGCCCTGAAGCTTGTGCAAAAATCTTTGATTTCTATCTTAGGAGGAGGAAATATTTTTTTAAAAAAGGCCTTTGCCTTTAGGCTATCACTCAGTCCCACAGGGAGCAGAAAGGAAGCAAACAGTTTATTTACAGAGCGATTCCAACCATAAAAGAGGCAAGTAAGACAAGGATTGCTGAAAATATGTGACACTGGCTGAACTATGACAAAAGCTTAGTTGTTACTCATATCAGAGTAGCTGAAGAAGTAAGGTGCAAGATGAACCATTTCATTTTTAGGCCGTGGTGTTTCTCTTTGGTTAATCAGCCTCTATATTCACATACACATATCCAATGGTGGGATTCAGCCAGTTTGCACCAGTTCGGCAGAACTGGTAGCTATTTTTTTGTTGCCCAGGCCCAGAATGGACTTCCGGAAGTGGCATCCACACAGAGAACCAGTTGTTCACCTATTTGAACCCCACCACTGTACATATCTATATTTCAATGGGGAGGAAGCAGAAGCAAGATGGGGCAAGCTAGTCACTCAAAAGGGCCATTCTAGTCGCTCAGGGAATTGTATGAAACAACCTTCTTTGGTTTGCAGTATTCAGAAAGTAAATTGAGACTCCATGATTGTGCCCTGTGTACAACAAAATGGTGACTGAAATAAAATATGATACTAAGGCATGACTTCCTTAACTACAGCTTATTAAGTGCTCTCTCTACATATATCCCACTATTATTATTTTTATAAATAACTCAAAACAGCAAACATACCTAATACTCCTTCCTCCTCCTATTTTCCCCACAACAACAACAACCCTGTGAGTGAGTTGGGCTGAGAGAGTGTGACTAGCCCAAAGTCACCTAGCTGACTTTCATGGCTAAGAAGGGACTAGAACTCACAATCTCCCACTTTCTAGCCTGGTGACCACTAAATCAAACCGTTTGTCTATTAGCTGAGTTTTCAGAGCATAATACTGAATCAATGACCATATTAAGCCCCAAACAACAAAATAAAAATTAAAACATCCCGCTAGGTGCAGTGTGTGAACTTAGGCAATACGGATGTAGTTATTTGGGTGGCCAAGGGAAAACCTTCAAAATTCTTACATTTTTTTCTCCTTAAATAGAAGAGTAAGGTAGTTGTTGCCTATTCAATCTATACCAGGGGTCTTCAAACTTGGCCCTTTTATGACTTGTGGCACGCTGGCTGAGGAATTCTGGGAGTTGAAGTCCACAAGTCACAAAAGGGCCAAGTTTGAAGACCCCTGGTCTATACTTCGGAAGATTTATCTTCTCAATAGCAAGATTGTCAGGTCAATATAAGCTTTAACCTCCCAGTTGCATCAGCAATCTTCCCCAAGCCGGACAAAATTATGTCCTGACTGATCTTCATTATGCCATTCGTTCTGATGACCATCAGTGCCCGGCATTTAAAAATGTACTATGTACATGTGATTTATTCTGAATCTTTCAGTGAGCAGATAATGAAAACATCTTCCCACCAAAGTGTTAAAAACACATATCTGCTATTTCTTGATTAATTTATGCCAGATTGACTTTGGAACAAAGACAAAGTTTTCCAAAAAACATAGAGGGAGTGCTTAGGTTAAATAATAACTCGTACTTCAGTACAGTCATTCAATTTTTCATTTTGGCTTGAGCCTTGTAAGAAGTTGGCTGCTGTTAACTCTTGTGAACCAGAAAGTAGCCAATAGCCAATTTGTTGGCCATTGATTAGTGATTATTGATGAACTGCAACTGTAGGAGAAACATTTCTACATTATGCACCGCAACCTACCTTTCTTCTAATTTATAAATTCCTGATGGTAGACTCTCATCTGCTCTTTTTCCTCACTATTTATCCCCGAATGCTTATGTGTCCTTTTTCTTGTAGTTATTTTTGCATTCCAAGTAGCTTCCAAGAATTCTTGTCCATGTTTTTCTTATATACAATTAACACAATTAACAAAAGGGTTTACAATTACAAAAGGGTTTAAAGTGAATAAAAGATTTTATGGATGCTTACAAACAAGGTCAAGCATAAATCTGATTCAGCATTATAGATGAGTTCCTCTATGTGGGTCATGCCCCAGCATGTAATTTGTGTATATATTGTTGTTCTCTGGCCCCATCTACTGACCTGGGCCAAATACCAATCTGTATTGTTTGGAAGCTGACCTGACCCTTTAAGAGTCATCCACCCATCCACCCTCATTCCAAAAACAAGTGCATCCTGGGAAGCCAGACTCTATTTCCTTTAGCTTTTGGAGGAAATAGAAGCAGCAGGAACCCATGGCACATGTTAATCTGAGGACAAAAATCCACATTCCCATACACATAGATAGCATCGCTCGTGAGATTTAGATTTATCTGTATTTGTTAATTGTTATGCTCACCAGCAAGTCAACACTGCTTATTTTGTATTTGGGTTCTTATTGTACTGTATGTATTTCTATTTTTCCCAGTTTCACCCATCCTGTTCCTTTAATAAAGCATCCAGATCTGCTTTATTGGAGAATAGGTGGGTTTAGCTGCATGTCAAGTCACACAGAGTAATGTGTAGTGAGGACAAAACAACCCGAGATGTTTACTTGCAGATGTTCAGCCACAGACCTGGGGCAATGCTGGAAGAATTTGCCCTGCTGAGTCATACCTATCCCAGGCTCCTGAGTAGCACAACATAGTTAGAGACAGAAAGAAATGTCAGAGATCAGAGTGATTAAAGGAAGTCTCAAAATAGCCAACTCTTCCTGTCAGGGTGTGTACCATTTCCTTAAAGAAGTTCATAAGGCAACCCTCTTTAGTCAGACATGTAAACCGTGATATATATATATATATATATATATATATATATATATATATATATATATATATATATATATATATATATGGTGCTTTCAGCTTCGTGCCTCGAGCAGCAATGTGTGGTCTTAGCTGTTTCTTCCTTTTAACTGCCAGTGGGGGTATGAACTGATTGGGTGGGAGCTTGGCTGTGTTCTGATTGGGTGGAGGTGTGTTCTGATTGGTTAGGGGCGTGGCTGTGCTCTGATTGGCTGGGGGGTTGGCTGTGCTCTGATTGGCTGGGGGGTTGGCTGTGCTCTGATTGGCTGGGGGAGTGTTCTGTTTGGTTGTGCTCAGGTTTTTTAAACAAACCCAAAGCCACACTGACTATGAGGCACGACCACAAACCAGAAGCCAGACCACAGCTGCATCATTAGCCACTTTAAACCCCCCAATCCATACATGAAGCAAACTGACACCCTCCATGAAGAGGAAGCACGACCACGAACGCGAAGCCAAGGAATGGCAGGGCAGCCCAAAATCTTGAATCCCTCTGCAACTCAGACTAACCTGAGCACAACCAAACAGAACACTCCCCCAGCCAATCAGAGCACAACCAACCCCCCAGCCAATCAGAGCACAGCCAACCCCCCAGCCAATCAGAGCACAGCCACGCCCCTAACCAATCAGAACACACCTCCACCCAATCAGAACACAGCCAAGCTCCCACCCAATCAGTTCATACCCCCACTGGCAGTTAAAAGGAAGAAACAGCTAAGACCACACAGTGCTGCTCGAGGCACGAAGCTGAAAGCACCAGCCTGAAGATGACGAATGGGACTTCGTCGAAACGTCGCCAAGACACTTCCAATTTTACGTGGGAGAAAACCCGAACAACCAAAGACCTACATATATATATATATATATATATATATATATATATATATATATATTGCAGAAAATTAAACAGAGTTGTAGCCATGCTTCAGAGGGGACACTGACAAACGATTCCAAACAACCCCTCTTAATTTTATTTTTCAGGACAGCTTCTGGGGATAACAAATCCCATGATGCATTTGCTGAAGACCACCATTCTTAAAATGCAAAGGGATCAACCCCTCTCCCACTCTGCTCTCTGCAATCCTGTTGACTTTTGCCTGTATTTGCTGCTCTGAGATAGTGCTAGATAGAGGGCCTTTTCATTGAGTTTTGGAACCAAGGTGTATGAGGGAAATGAATAGTAAGGCCTACTTTACTTTACAAATATATAATATAATGTAAAAGAAAAGAGCAGCGAACAATCTACTACCGCAAGGATTAACAGAAAACAGAATGGGATCTACTATTATAAAAGGAAGGATTCCACTATTTCAGGAATTATCAATTTGGTCCAGTAGTTTTTGTTTTTTTTAATAAATCAAGGTTGCAAATATATCTAATACTCTTCCATCTCTTATTTTCCCCACAACAGCAACCCCATGAAGTGGGTTAGCCTGAGATGAAATGACTTACCCAAAATCACACAGCTGACTTTCATGCCTAGGGCAGAACTAGAACTCACAGTCTCCTGGTTTTTAGCCTGGCCTTAACTAGCCCAAATACTTTGGCACTGTACTCCTTGAGAATCTCTCCTCTCAAGGATATTCTTTTTAAAAAATATATTTTATTATTTTTTTTAACATAATCACCATTAATATTTGGTAAACAGTGTGTGTTGTCTGGGTTTATATTTACAAACAATAACTATTAGTTTCTATAGTTCCATACTCCACATAGTAGCTTCCCCTCTCAAGGATATTCTTGTCCATGTTTTTCTTATATACAATTAACAAGGGTTTAAAGTGGATAAAAGGTTTATGGTTTTGAACAAAGCAAGACTGAATTTGAAAGAGATTATGTGCTAATGATGAACAAGTTGTTGCTAAAATGTATGCACTTTTACTGAAATATGAGACAGAAGAACAACAAGTGAAAGAATGTATGATAAAATCAGCTAAAAATTTTAGCTATGATATACGAATTGACTAATGGGATGATTGTGTGGTTGAAAGGATTGAAATTTACATTATGTTTCAGCCATAAGGAGAATTTTTATAAAATGAGGTATCACTGGAATTTGTCACAGAGAAACTATTTCAAATCTTTCTTGGAAATGTCATATGTTATCATGTTCATTTGGTGAACGTGTTAAAAAAACGAAACATTTTGGATACAAACACACGCACGATTAAGAAGATTTTAAAGGTTACATTGCAACTGAAACTAGAGACTTTACTTTTGAGATTAATGGACAAGCAACTAGAAAAATGCCACAGAATGTTGTTTTCATATATGACAGCTGCAACAAAACTATTATATGCTCAAAAATAGAAAGACTTACCACAAAGGAATGGTTGGTGAAGATGATGGAACTTGCAGAGATGGCTAAATTAACTGCTTTGATTAGAGAAAAAAAATAAGCAGATTTATGGTTGGCTGGAAATCCCTTACAAACTATTTTGCATGAAACAGAAAAATGCACATATGATTCGTGGTTTGATGTTTTTTTAAAAAGAGTAATAAAAATGAAGTTTTTGTAATCATAAAGTACAAGGTAATTTTCCAATTGTACTTATATATGCTACAAAGGAAATTTGAAACTCTTTCGCTTACAAGTTTGTTAATTCTTATGTTTTGAAAAACTTTAATAAAAATTTATATAAAGAAATTCTATTCTATTCTATTCTATTCTATTCTATTCTATTCTATTCTATTCTATTCTATTCTATTCTATTCTCCTTGTTTACTCCTTTAAATAGAAGACCCAAAGACCTATAGCTTCTACAGCAGGAGTGTCAAACTGGTGGCCCGCAGGCTGGATGTGTCACATGCAATTCACGCCCACCCTGGCTCTGCAAAGGAAAAAAAAGTCACGATATGTCATGATACGTCATGTGACACGATCGAGTTTGACACCCGTGTTCTACAGCAAACCGCAGCGACACCAACATGATGCCACATACGCAGTAACATCATCAAGCAAACACCACAATTGTATACTTACATGGGGATGACTAATGCAATTATGTAAATCGTGACGTTGACCTGCTTGCATCACCATACGTATGACACTGTTGTTGCTCTTCAAGCTCCTTGTGCAGATCTGCAGATCTCAAGATCTGTTGTATGCAAAGCATCAATCTTCCAATGAATTATTTCTCCGCAACAATCAAGGAAGTGTCCCTAGATATTCCAGCAACATCTAATGAACTTTCTATTCATCTATATTCTACTAAAACTCTTATGTCTGTTTGGTTGTTTTGTAATCTTCAATTGGGCAAAACAATGCATCATAGGGCAACAAATTCTGAATCAAAGAACCTCAAAAGGGTTAACTTGCAGAAAGTGTCCAAAATTTGGGACCCATGACTCCCATGGGATTGAAATTTGGTTAAGTTATGACTGCTTCAATGCTGCTGTGTTGCTGCCTCACCATGCTGTCATGGTCAGCTTCTGTCATGTGATTGTCATTTTCAATGCTCCCTGCCAATTTCCTAGAAGGAAAGTCAGTGAGGAAGTAGCAGGAAGTTGGAAGTTGCTCCTGTTCCCACTGCTTTTTTTGCCCACCTATGGTGATTCTGTTCCTCTCTTTAGGTAAGGAAGCATTTCTCTCAAACAATGACCAACTGGTTATTGGCCATCTAGTCAAGGATAAAACTGAAATTGTATGACTAGACCAAGTTGTTTGTAGGATTGTTGGTTCTCTTATGTTGGTTCTGTTTGCAGACATTTCCATTACTGAAGACTGAATGACTCCTTGCTGGCCTCTAAGATACTGTAACTGAATTAAAAAAGAAATCATTTTAAAATTGAGCTCGCTCTTTTTTGGAGTCCAGATCATTTAAGACAATATAACTTCCTCTCTAGCCTCAGGATAAACATGGTGTTTCTTTCCTTCCCTTTTTTTTTTTTTCCTTCTGCAATCCATTTCCATTACTGGCACAGTTTCATCTTTAGTCAGACGCCTAATTTGGTTGTTTATTTGAATCTCATCCTGTTTCACTTCATCCCAAGGTTTTTGTTGTTTGTTTTTTTAAAATATTTTTTTTAAATCTCCAGTGATCTCTACGTGCATCAGCCTACCTTTTTTTCAGCTAAGAAAAATGATATAAACCAAATGATGAAAGAAATGATTTCAAGATTTGAAAGACACATCCTTGGAGGAGGGGCAATAGGAGACAACTGAGGGAGGCTTATTCAAATGTCCACTAAATGCACGGGCCAAGTCTGTGCTGGAAGAATTCAGGCCAAGCCTGGCTGTAAGAACAAATATTTAAACAAAACTACATAAACTGGAATCTTCAAGTAAATATCTGGCCAGATATATGCATCGTGCTAACCCAAAATGTTGTTTACTTGGTTTTTACATAGTTTGTTGGGTGCATTCTAGCTATTGTGGTTTATAAAGCATGGATTATGGCAATATGTTGCTTTAAACTTGCCAGTTGTGATTTACTCATTAAATCATGGCTCAGCGTGACCTCAAAAAATACTCTATGTGTGTGCATTATCAAATGTTATCCTAGGGATTTTATTTAATCTCCTCCCTGACTTCTGCCTTTGATGCCTGTTGGCGTTCAAATTTCATGAGCCGGTTCGGTGTGGTAGTTAAGGCACCACACTAAAAAGCAGGAGGCTGTGAGTTCAAGTTCCGCCTTAGCTACGTAAGTCAGTTGGAACCAGTCTTTCACTCGTTTTCAGCCTCACTCACCTCACAGGGTTCTTATTGTGGGGAAAATAGGGGGAGAAAGGTGTGTGTGTGTGTGTTTTTTTACAAAAAAAACTTGAGTTTTTTGTAAAAAAAATAAGGTGGGAAATAAAATATAAAATAAATAAAAATAATAAAGCAAAATAATAAAATAAAGCAAAATAAAATAAAAATTAGTCAACTACTTGTGAGGCTTAAGTTCTCTCTAAATCTCCTGGAAGGCATACATTGTAGCAAACCAAGTACCATCAGATACGGCTACTCACGCATTTTTAATGCCCGTTTTCCTACAAAAAAGAAAAGATGATCAAAAATAGATAGGAAGAGCATTCTGTCCTGTTGCAATGTTCGTTCTACACCAGGAATGCAAATGGGTGGGGAGATGCTTGGGCTGCATACAACTAATGAAGTAAAAGCTGCTATCTGCACAGTTCTAAAAAGTGTTAAACTGGAACATCAGTCTGCTATTTAACCCTAATTATTAAGACACTTCTCCTGTTTGGTCATTAAGATTGGTCCAGGAAGGGTATCTGAAAGGCAACCATTTTGGAGAGGGTTGCCTTTTATGGTTTTACTGTTATTGTGCAGCTTTTATGTGCTGATTTTATTTAGGTTTATTTTAGACTAAAATATTAGTAGATTGGGGGGAGTACCTTGTTGATGCTTGGAAGGGATACATCTTATACAACCTTGGAGTGTAAAATGCATGGAGTCCATTTTATAGAAAATAACAGACATATATAGCAGTAGCAGCAGCTGCAGCAGTAGTAATAGATTCTTTTCAAAGGAATGTTTGGCATTCTCTTTATTTTCCTTAAGGACTAGTTTAAATCTTTTAAGAAATCAGTTTTATATTGTGCTGGTATTTTATTGCTGTTTTATTTTTGATTAATATTATTGTATATTCTGTTAATATTTAAAAGCAGCTTTCCAGGCTTTTTGGCTAAGAGTACATAATAGACATTATCGGAAAATTAAAATGCCGCTGCCAAATACCGTAAAACAGGTTATAATCAAAGGTTATAATCAAAATGTTATAATCAATATAAGGTTACGTTGTAAATTAAATTTCTCTGGAAAATGATGAAAGCTATATATCATTGTGGCAAAGAACAATTTTTAATGAAGTGCAAGATTGGATTCCTAAGACAGAATACAAATTATATGACACATACTTCTCTGGAATTCTGACCTGCTTAAAAAAAACAAAACTTACTCAACCCTCCACTACTCATTTGGCAATTATTAGGGCTTAATTGTCAGGAATGTCACATGAAACATTATCTTAGTGTATCCTTTAGCAGCTAAAACAACATCCAATCAGTTGGACATGTATTACCTGATGCCTAAATTATTCTGTAAGATGAAACTCAATATTTCAGCTTGTCAAAATTATATGTGGATGATAGATATCAGATGAACTGCAGCAAGCTAGATTAAAAAATCAGCTGCAGAGAATCCATGAGAATTATATGTGATCTTTGTAATGAAAAAATAAAATAGAAATATAATAATTTCAATAAATGACTTAGGGACTTACTTTCTGAAAGAGCCAATTGGTTCGGGACTCAGATTGTTAATAAACTATTAAACAGTTTGCTGACTATGGTACATCACTGCCAAAACAAAGTACCTAGGTTGGGTGCATATTTCTTTTCAAGCCATAATATAATTTGCTATGTTTCAAGGTAAATGATAGCTTAAGACTTTATGTGCTATATGATTCCAACCTATTGGATCTATTCATCAAAACATGGTCTAGTGATATGTCAATTCAGCCAAGAGTATCGAATGCAGTGATGGCGAACCTTTTAGAGACCGAGTGCCCAAACTGCAACCCAAACACACTGGTGGGTGTGGCCCATTGGATGGGTGTGGCCCATGGGCTGGGCATGGCCCATTGGGTGGGTGTGGCTGCGATGGTAACGGCAGACTGGGCGGGACTAAAAAGTTCAATCAATCAATTCTAACTTTGCAAGATTTTTTTTCCTGCGAGAAGTTGAAATTGACTGATTGATTGAACCCCTTTTTTTTTTGCACACGGCGGTGGAGGCCTAAAGCGAAAAGGTTTTATAAAACCCAGCTGAAGGCCTAGGACAGGGGTGATGGTGCCGCCTCTGGCACCCGTGCCATAGGTTCGCCACCACTGATCTAATGTATCACCACAAAAAATACAGATATTTATTTTAGAGCATTCAAATAATTGATGCAATTAACCTAGTGATTTCAACTCTATAACTTGGCTGCAAGATTACAGGAGATGAAGTCTACAGTATCTGGAAGAAAGAAGGCTGAGAGAGCTTGACTTCGACAATCAGCATTGAGGCTGATGAATCTCATGCAGCAGCACTCATCACTTAGCAATTCTGCACTAACCTCGGCCTCCCCTAGAGAGCTGAGGTGTGCCACACCATCGTTTTATTAAGATGAATGAAAAAGGGAGGAGTTTAAGTGGCATTCTGTTGATCATTGCCTGACATAAAGTTTAGTTCTTAATTGCAAGGAACAATATTACAGCAATAGCACTTAGATTTATACACTGCTTTATAGCACTTTAAGCCCTCTCTAAGCAGTTTACAGAATCAACATATTGCCCATAACAATCTGGGCCCTCATTTTATTGACCTCGGAAGGATGAAAGGCCGAGTCAACCTTGAGCGGGTGAGAATCGAACTGCTGGTAGTCGGCAGAATTAGCCTGCAATACTACATTCTAACCACTATGCCACTACGGCTTTTATAGCACTAGAAAAAAATCAGTATATTTTTTTTACCTGTAGGAGTACATTAATATTTTAGATGCAACAGTAAAAATGGCCATTACCAGAGTCATCTGTGGGAATGAGGCAACAAAGTGAAGATGGCCATTATAGCTCTGAAACCAAAGTCCAACTGGGACGTGCATGCAAATGGTGAGGGACTTTGATTATTCAGGTGTGATTGCCAGTTTTTATTTTTTTCTTTACTCCCTCCAATATCATTAATATGGTGAGGAGGAAGTGAATTTACAGAAAAGCAGTTTGGTGTAGTGGGGAAAGCACCAGGCTAGAAACCAGGAGACTGTGAATTCTCTTCCCATCTTACGCACAAAGTTTGCTTGGTGACCTTGGGCCAGGCACTTTTTCTCAGCCCTAAGAAGGTGGCAATGGTAAATCACTTCCAAAAAACCTTGCCAAGAAAACTGCAGGGACTAGTCCAGGCAGTTGCCAGGAATCAAAAACTGACTTGAAGTCACAAAAGTAATGAATTAATACAGGGGTCCCCAACCCCCAGCAACTGGGCCGCACAAACAAGCCCCATCCGCGGGATACAGGCAACACACAAAACCACACACCCTCCAGTCTGTGGAAAAACCTCTCTCCACAGAACCGGTGTCTGTTGCCCAAAAGGTTGGGGACCTCTGAATTAATATACTGCTTTTAGACGTAACGTTTTCCTAAGATTTTATTCGGCTTTACTAAGATTTGTCCTTGTGACTATGGATCTACCTCAGAGCAAAATGTTCTCTCTCGCCCCTTTGCTTTTGTCCACAAGAGGTTCTTGTTGCCTGTTAGGGGTAATGAAGTTTTTCAAGTTGCAAAAGTGAAGTCGCAATGTTCAATAGTTGGGTAGGTAGAGATCCTGGAAAAGCTAGGAAAATCTACTGTTCTCCCACATTCTGGGACTCTTTAATTGGGCCAGCAAGCCGGAAATGCTGGGTTCAAGAAAGGCAATAAAAAACAAACGGCCATTGTTTAACAAGCAGGGAGCATCTCAAGAGAGAGAGAAAAAAAAAACATTAGCTGGATGGAGCCACGAAGTAAACTGAAGAAGAAATGTTACACAGAGGAACAATGAAAAGAATTATCTTGATGAAGAAGTAGCAGTATAGAAAAATGTAATGATTCTTGGTTCATGAACTTCCCTTGCACCTGATCCCAATGAAAATCACAGTAAAACTATTTCACAGAAAGTGGCCCCAGAGCAGTTATAAAACCATTATTATAATCTCTGGAGCACTTTCAGATATTCTTGCATCTTCAAATAAGTGCAACGTAATATAGGTTTTGGCTCAATTGCTCAATGAAATTATTCTTTTCTCTTAGATGGAAGAAAGAATTTTTGCTCCGGTCAATTTTTCTAGCAAACAAAAAGTTAAGTGGGAACAATTGATTTTTATAGAAAACAAGGAAGGTGAGCTTCTGGACACACCTGTATGTGTAAAAATTTTGGACACCTGCAGTCTCCTCACATCTCTTTGCCCGAGGAGGTAAAAATAAAGAATTGGAAGGGAGTAACTAGGCTCACTCCTATTGCAGTATTAGAAAAAACAGCTACAGACTGGTGCATAACTGTGAAAAGCATATAAGCTGAATAACAAGTAATGTCTCCAATACCCAGAAAACTATTCATGATAGGGATTTAGCTATGTATGTATGTATGTAGCCCACCCGTAAGGGATTGGAAGTGTGAACATATAAATTATCCATGAATCCAGGCTAACCTTTTGCTGTTATTAGCAACAAATTAGCACTTGACCTGGAATTATCACTGTAAGCTGTCTGGTCAGTTGTTTTATTACAATACCCTGTGAATTGGCCCTGTTTAGCAGGTCAGGCAAATGAAACATAAATCTCTGGGTAAAATAGCATGAGCTTCAATTACTCCCTTTGATTTACTCCCTTCAGTTGAAATTAATTATACAAGTAGGATTTTTAAAATCATTTGAGAAGCAGATAATTGAGCATCGCTTTAAGTCCGTAAGCAGCTTTCGCATGCCACATGATTTCTTTTAATCACCTTAAACAGCATTTTTTATTACTATAGGGCAGGTTCCATTATTTGGGCCTTATACCAGGTAGTAACAATGTGAAGGATATATCCTTCTGGTAGTTCTATTAACCAGCTGAACTCACAAATTAGGTTCTCTCCCAGTTTGATGACTATCTCTATCATTATTGCTAAATTGGTAGGTGAAAAAAATCTTTTACCTTTCTTTATCTAAATGACTAGTTTGCCATGTCTTTTTAAAAATTAAATATTGTCAGCCTCCAAAAACCAAGAAAGACATATTGTGATTCTTCCAAGCAGATCTCTTTACTATTTCTTACCCATAGACAGAATCTTGCCAAACTAAAGCAAACTAACATGCCCATAAGGCATATATAGATAGTCCTTGACTTACAACAGTTTACTTAGTGACTGTTTGAAGTTGTAACAGCACTGAAAAAAGTGACTTATGACCATTTTCATGCTCATAACCATTGCAGCCTCCCCAATCATGTGATTTACATTCAGATGCTTGACCATTCATTTATGACAGTTGCAGTATCCCAGGGTCATGTGATCCCCTTTTGTGACCTTCTGACAAGCAAAGTCAATGAGGAAACCAGATTCACTTAGCAACCGTGTTATTAATTTAACAATTGCAGTGATTCACTTAACAAATATGGGAAGAAAAGACATAAAATGGGGCAAAACTCACTTAACAACTTTCTCATTTAACAACATAAATGTTGGGCTCAGTTGTGGCCGTATGTTGAGGACTATCTGTACATTGGGAACTGTTAAGGAAGAGTCATCTTCACCCACTTTTCCTCAGTTTCTGAACTGAATTGTCTCGTTTCTGTGGAATGCAGCCCCTTCCTCCTGGGAATGCAGATTAACATTCCGTCATATGATAATTATGAAACTGAATTCAAGAAGACAAAGGAAACAAGAATCTCTTTTAATTGTAGCGACTACAGCTTCTTGTTGGCTATCTCCACAGCCAATTCCTCTCTGCGTCTATTGCATCAGTTCTCAGTCAGGAGGGTGGTGCCCTGATTTGGGAGTGGCAAATCAGGCAAGAGATTTCTCCTCTCCTTTTCACGATGTTGCTAGCCAGTGAGGAAGACACCCATCCATCGGGATTCAGGACAATGGTTGGACTCAGCCAATCTTTTTAAATACTTTCTCCAACACTCCATTTGGGCCTCTTCCAAATTAAAATTGTGCTAAATAAATGTATGGAAAGATTACAGAGCAGAAAGTCCCAGGGAGGAAAGTGGCAAGTCTCCACCGTGATTGCAAGTGGGTCCTGCAGAGCAGCAGAGCTGAAACTGACAAGATGCTGGCAAGCACTTTGACTTTAAGGGGAAGAAAATGAAAACTGACAAACAAGCAACAGTGATTCATGATCAGAGGGGGAGGGATGGACAAAGGCCACCAAATATTCCTCAAACGTGTATCTGATTAACCCACAACAGGCTAGCTGATCTCAGCCACCAGATGGAAGATGTTGGAATAAAAGGGTAAAATGCTACTTTCGTGTGTCTTTCTCATGGGCTGGAGATGAGACAAAGGCTACTTAATGGAGAAAGTGAACATTATTCTCAGAGTACGATTGAGACACCATCAAGTGCAAATAGGGGGAAGGCCCTGCATCTACTTTGCTTCCTTGTCCCAATGTTAGACACATTATTAAAATGTATTTTAGCTAACTGACATGCCATCGGTCAATGCTTTCAGTAGAAAAAGTGACATCAGAGAAGAAATACAGTGATAAATGCTCTAAAGCTTCACATTTAAGAGAACCAACTTTATTCAGTTTTCCCTCCCTACAGTTAATTCTATTCTGTTCCAGATTGGCCTAGGTGCATTAAAAGATAATACTTTCACACTATCCAGTTAACAAATCAAATCTTTATAGCATGCATTGACCAGTATATTCAGTTGTCTGGTGGAATCACCATTCTATAACACTTTTGCTGCATTTGAACTGAATTTAGCTCTGTATAAAAATTCAGAAAGGGAAGTTCAAAGGAAAATAATGGTTGCATCTACTTAAGAATGATCCATACAATCCAGAATGACAATTTTCAAACAACAGCTATGTGATCACATATTAACTATACAAATGTCATTCTTATGTTTAGATCTTCTTTTTTCCTAAAATCTCAATTACGGAAACTCTTAATACGAAGTCATTATTTCATGAAAATAACAAAGAACCTAGTTGTATATATGACAAATTTTGAAATCTCCAGTGAAGCAATATATTTATGAAGCATTCAAGCTGCCCAAGTTGCAACCTTAGAAAGCAAGCGGAGTTTTGGTATGACTCTGAAGTCAGGCATGCTAGTCTCCATGATAGAAATCATAAAATGGAGTGAAGATGACTACAGACACTCAACTTAGATTCTACCACAACATGGTGATGGTTTCAAATGGTCAAGACTGATGGGATAAAGAAACAAACAACAGTTGAGATTGACGGGAACTATAATAGGTTTAAGTTAAGAAAGCTGTTCTCGACCTTTCAGAAGATACCAATGGCATCACGTTGCAACTTAATTACAACTTAAAATCTTTGCATTATCTTTCCATTCTATTTCAATCACATCCCCTATTTACCCTCATAAATGAAACTCGTTATAAAAATTGCAGTTATACTTGATGGAGGAAAAGGAAGAATCTGATGGGACTGACAACATCCTGATCACCAGTAATAAATTCCAGATTGTGTTTCTATGCATTAAGATGTAGCAGAATTACCATCACGTTGAACCAATTCTAACACTGCTCAATAATATGAAGAAAAACCAATTCAGACTAAATGAATATAATTTGCTGTAATATTTAAATAGTTGATTATACGCAGATATATGTAATATGATGGTGACTTCTTTGATATCATTTCCTGATATAAGTAGCATTTGGAAAAGTCACCACTTCGGAGCAAGTATATTTTAAAAGTACATTTAGATAATATGACTTTGCACAAAAATAATTATAGAATGAAGTCAAATAGTCAATTTCCCTAAGCTTATTTCATGAATATTGCACATCAATGTTAAAAATGACATATTTAAAATATGATAGTTTTTTTTAAAACTCTAACTTAAAGACAAATAAAAAAGATGTTGCTTGCGATATGCAATACAGTATTATGAATGACAAAAGCTTTGTATATATCTTTGTATACATTTTAAAAACAAGCTTGAACTCCTTTGACCACTTGATTTGAAGAAACCCTAATGGAGATGGTGAGATTTCTCCAGAGAAAATGTCCAAGATCCTGCAGCCGTTTTGAACTATTTCTATGATGAAAGTAGATCTTGTGGGCAATTCATGTAAAGTATACAGTATATACTATATGCACAATGGATCATAGACCCAGGCCTCTTCTGGCCCTCACCCTGCAAATATAGAACACATATCTCAGTATAAATGCCCACATTTTACAATCTCCTCAGTAATATATAACATTGGAAGCATGAAAGAAATTGCAATTATGGATATGCACAGATGATACCCACACACACCCTTTCATCTTATTAGTCTGTATAGGAATAGTGCATACAACTCTTGACATCCTTTCAGCAGATATTATATTTTGTGTAATTACAGAAATAGCACCTTCCAATTATAAGTGATAAACCACCACTTGTAGTATGCCCTTGCAGTAAAAGTAGACCTCCACTAGATTGTAAGGTTAGGCTGTATCAGTCTCCCCTTCAATGTAAGACAAGCCTTCAGTTCTACAATAGATCTTTACAGAAAGTCACTAGTTGTACTGACAGCTTAAAATAGTTTGTTTATTAGCAACATCAGCACTTTGGTTTATAGAATAGATTTAAGACTCTGAAAAGAACATTTCTCCTCTTCATGTCCTGGAAAATCTCAGCAATGTAGAGAATGGACTGCTTGTAAGACTCTTTTAGCTTGGGATGTTTTACTTCAGCCCTTGACTTGTTTATACTTTTAAGCAAAGAATGAAGATAGGAAACAAATCAGAGCGCAAGATGCAGTTGGCAGGGTCTGAACTTCAGGCTGCATTTCCCATCTTAGCATAAGGATTTGCCTCAACATTAATGCTGTTTTCCATTAAGTGGAGGTTTATCGTTTAATAGCATCAGGGACTGGCATTCCCAGCTTCATACAAAAACACTAGGAAATACCGCATAGCCCAGCCTATTAGTTGAAGTTCTAAGAGAACTGCATTTAAGAGTCTCTAGCAAGAATCTACATTTCCACCAAACATCATTTCCAAGGTTCATGACCATTAAGCCACTATAAAACTGAGAATTGCTTGTAATATAGACAAGTCCTCTGAATGGAGGAAAGAACTCCCGCAAGACTGTTGCTGAAAAATTAAGAGACGTTCTGTTGGTGGAGGTTGTTTCTGTTTTACAACGATGAGATCATGTCTGAACTGAGCAATGTAACCCTAAAGAGCCCCAAAGAAGGCTCGAATAATTCAGTGGTTCCGATTCCAACATAAATGTGTGCAGGATTGAGCTGTGCCACACAAACAAACAAACGTGACCAACACATTTGGAATGTATCAGCAATATGTAATATATATATATATATTACAGACAATTGATGGAACTGATAGTCAAGTGGTACCGATCAGGGGGGTCGGATAAATTAGAAGATATATCAACAACATGCCTTCAATACCAATTGAAGAGGAGCAACAATGGAAGAGGGATTCTGTCCTCCTGCCCTGATGACGATTATACTGAACACCACTCCAGGAAAAGAACATGGGCGTTGACAGGTCTGACTCACGAGGCTTCCTTCTTTTAAGAGAAAGACCACGTGCAATTGCAACTATTGGAAGCTATTTTTAACCAAATAGCTAGTTTTATGGAGATTTTATTTTTCGTTATAGACCAGATGCTTCAGTTTGGTTAATCTACCTGGGGAGACAAATCTTGTCACTTCTGCTAGACACTCAGCAAATACTAAATGTACTGTTTTCAAGTTGTGAAGGTGCTTGTTAAATAGTGGGAGCAGAAACCTTGTCATGGACTCTGTGGGATATGAGAAAGAGAGTAAAATCAAGTCCACTCCATACTTAGTTTAGATATGCAAGCAATCCCCACTTAATGTCCATTTGTTCAGTAATCATTTGAAGTTACGGCAGCTTTGAACAAATGGATTGGTGACTGTCATGCATGCTGCACCATGCCCCACTCCTATATGGGCAGGGAGCTTCTTTTGTGCCAGTTCAGCTGGGGCTTTTTCACATGCTACAGGGCCTCCGTTCATGTCCTGCCCAGGGCCTCTATTTGCTTAACAGCCAGGGCCTAAATCTGTGCCCCACCCTGGGCCTCTATTCCTGCCCACCCAGGATCTCTATTTCTGCCCTGCCCAGGGCCTCTAGCTGGGTTCTTGTTTCATATGTTAGGTTTCTTTTACAAAATAACTTTTGGCCATGATGGAAAAGGAGAGAAGGATGTATAAATCTGAGTCTATTATTCTTTCCCATTACAATAAACTAAGACTTACTATGATGCTTGATTGCAATCACAAGCAATTAGTTGTGGACACCTTGTAGTCTCAAAGCATACCTCTAAAACTAATCCACCTAGCATTTTAATGATTTGATGACAGATGTTCAAATGCAAGTTGCATCTGTAATGACTAACTTCAGGGAAGACTTCTTCATATGTAGACAGCTTTCTGAATATTCTCTATAGTGCAGGGCTATGTTTAAGCAAATATTCCATTTTCTTTGTAACGTACTGGAAATAAATCCTTCTGAACTGAATTATTTCTTTCCAAGCAAGCATGAATAGTTTTGTAAGACTAAAAATTCCTTATTTCGTGACTTGCATGACTTTGTTTACTACCATAATAATTGATTTGCATGCTACATTTTCATGGAAAATCAAGTCCAAAATATTTCACAACCACACATTTGTCACTTCATGGGAATCTAGGATGCTGTACTTTCTTAAAAGTGAGGGAAGCAGAGGAAATAATTAATATAATTTTTAACACTCCCACTCAGTTAAATTCCTATAAATCTTTGTGGGAAACCGTGACGGAGAAGAAGAAAAAACCTTTGTTATTAAAATTTGATCTTTCCTTCCTCTGTAATTATACCGTAATTATGATGTAGTGCAACCTTAGATGATTATGAAAGTATTCATGATAGAAAGATTGGAAACTGCTTTGTGCAAAGTCATATCTGTTTTGAATCTGCAGAGATTTACTAATGTAGATTTAGGAATCACAGTAACATACAGAAGGAGATGAAAGAAAGATTCGTAGTGTCAGAACATAATCTCCAGACTCATGTTCTGATTATAACTAAGAATACTAAATATGGAGCCAAGAGACTCAAAAGAAATTTAAATAAAACTGCATCCTGGCTAAAGTGCGATTTTAATTAAGTCTTCTAAAGAATAAGTTCTATTGCCAGCAATAGCAGCATAGATTTTAAGAGCACAGAATAGTTATCTTTTATCAATGATACTTTACTGTTTTGCTATAAAGAACTCCCAAGGACAGGGCAATCTGACTTGCAGAAGCCACAATTACCTGCAACTAGGACATAAACAAGATAAAGAACACTTTTGCAATCTTAAAGCATTTAGGTGATTTTTAAAAAAGCAGAATAGAAAGAATCACAGTTGCTACAGCAACCATAAATTATTCTACTTAAATGTGTTACCTAAATTATTTATTTTTAAAGATGATGATCTTTGTTTGACCTACGGCATTTTTTTTTTTTAAGGCAGATGTTAGCAATTTGATCTCAACAAAGCAGAGTAAAAAGTAGGAACATAACAATATAAGGCTATAACTTTAAAAAAAAATTGTAAACGTGAAAATGGGAGGGGTAGAAAAAGAAAACTTATATAAATATTAGTTTATATGTAATACATATATTCCAAAATGATCCATATATAAAACGTCAAAATACGTCATAATAAGATAAAGACTTGAAGGCATATTATATATGAGGCGTTTGGCAGAAAGTCTGTACTGAGTACTGAAAATATTACTCAGCCTTCATCTGTTCTCTAACATCCAAAGGCAGAGTTTCAAATAAGGTGTCTTCCACCACAAGTCCAATCTTTTTAAGAGCTCTGCAGTCACCAAGTTCATGGGGGAGAAACTCCAGGTGATTTCCTTTAAGGTCCAAGTGGGAGAGCAACACTAGATTTCCAATTTTAGGTGAAAGAATAGACAAGTTGTTTTTCCCAATCTTCAGCGTCTTGATTTTTTTGCAAAAGTATAACTCATCTGGCACACTCTCTATTTTGTTGCAGGAAATTGAAAAATACTGTAAACTTTGTAGAACCCCAATTTCAGGGGGGATGAATCGTATGTCATTGTTAGATAGGTCTAAATATCTAATTTTGTTGCATAGGAAAAGGTGGGACGGGAGGACCTCTATCTTGTTGTGACTAAAAGAAAGCCGTTCTAGGCTAGTAAGCTTCTTTATGTGCTCAGGGATATAGGTTATACTGTTGTGCCATAACTTTAGGGTTGTAAGTTTTCTAAGGTGTTGAAAGCTAACAATTTCCTCTATAGATTTCAGATTGTTTTCCTTAAGATCGAGCTCCTGGAGAGCGTTAAGGCTGAAAACAGCATGAGGAATGCGCTCTAGATCACAGTGCACCAGCTCTAATTCTGTCAAGTTGACCATTTTTTTCAGGTTGTTGAGCATGACTAGTTTAGTGCCATCGTTATGAATGCACATCTTTTGAAGATGACTTGAAACATCAACTACAGACTGTGGGATTTTGGACAGGTTGCTTTTAATGTGCAGAACTTTAAGGTTCTTAAGCTCTCGAAAAGACTCCAAAGTTATATTTTTGGAAATATCATGGCATAAGGAACCAATTAAGCTCAATTCTTCTAAATTTCTGAGCCCATACATCCAAGGTGGAAGTTCTCTGAAGTCATCAAACTTGACATTCAAGACTTTCAGGTTTTCTTTTAGAAACGCCAAGGCTGCACTGTGGATCTTTGCAGAACACTGGTATAGGGAGAGCTCTTGGAGATTGTCGAGTTGCACAATGGTAGCTGGTATCATGACATTATTAATAATTTCAAGTTTCAAGGACTGAAGCTCTGTAATTTCAAAGACTGTATCAGGAAGTCCAGACAGCATAAACAGTTGCAGTTCCAAACAGTTACGGGCATTCATTTGCAATCGTTGCCTGAGTTTATCGGCAGTCCACTCATTGTTTAAATTCAGCTGCTTCAGTTTGTTTTCACTGACCTCTGAAAGAAACACAGCAAATCTTTTCGAATAAAGAGGATCATACTGGTCGATCATATGGAGCATGAAAGCAAAGTCATTCCGGACATCTGGGATATCATCAATTCCAGTCTCTTGCCGGACATATTCAAAAGAATATTCTTTCAGAGAGCGGTAAAACAGCCAGTACAAAGTGTAAAGGCATGTCAGTCCATAAATGCTTACAAAGCATAAGTAGCAGAATGAGAGTTTAGAAAAAAGATGTGCCATTGTGTGATTGCAAGAAAAGTGCTTATATCCTGTCATGTCTTGAATGTCAACATTGCAATCTACTGTAAACTGAACTTTTGAAACAAGTGCACTGTTATATGCAATAATAATAAGAAACTTGATCACTTTCAGCACTGTTTGGCGAACATACATAGCATATAGTAGGTCACTTTCCTCAACATGGAGACGGAATTTCTTCACCTTCTCAAATAATGCTTTAGCTTGCTCTCCTTCTTTTTTATCCAAAGCCCCCGGAGTTCCTTTATCCACAATGAATTTTTCAGATATGGATTTTAAAGACTGTGTCCTGACCAAATTGCCTTCTGTGCTAGGCTGGACTGTGTTTGACCTGCTGCTGTTGTTCTTCCGGTTTTCCTTCCCCTCAGAGTCTTCTCCAGATACCTCTGACAAAGCCCGCGTGGTCCAAGGCGAGTCGAAACATTTTCCCAGAATGGAAATGAAATGTTCAATTTTTGAGCTGGACCCTGGGAATTTGAACCAAAAGTTGCTACACAGCATGAAGATCAATGTGTGTATAAGGACAAGGTATGGAAAGTACTTTGCATACCAATGCAAGGCACGTTCGTAGCACATTTGATTTATAAAGCTGTACTGCTGGAGGTCTAAGTCAGTCTTTAGGCCCTTCATTTCAACCGTGGCAGGAGGTGTGGATGGCTTGGGTGGAAGGAACTGAGCTGCACTGGAGTCTATATCTGACATATTAAGAAGGTGAGATACGTTCTGAGAAGGCTGGACTCTTTTGGGAAGACATATGATCTTATCCTGCATCACCTGAAATGCACACAAACAAAAATTGTATTTTGAAAATACATTTTGAAGCAAGTTTCTCTTTTAGTGAAGGAAGAAAAGGTCAGACGCCTACAGATTTTGAAACATCTCTACCTACAAAATTTCTAGATTGCAACCTGAATCGTTCCACCTCCCTAATCACCAGAAGCTCTGCAGACCTCAGTTATGTGTAAAAATCATAACTAGCTACAGCGCTATTATAATCTTCTGGCCACCAACATTTCAACATGACCATCTGTTTCAAAAGCTATTTATCCTTTTCCCTGAACTAAATAACCATATGAACAAAGAAGATTTTATTGCATGTATATATTTGTTAGCCTGTTCCGTTCAGGGCAAGTTATAAATGTTTCCCCTCTCTTGCAATTTATATTGTTATCTGAAGTCTGCAAGTCTCCTTTTCACCGCAAAGTGTGGGAAATGTGGTGGCTTAAATACTGAAAGATATAAAGATAGAGATGAATCTTTTAGTAGCTTTGTCAGGTAATCACAGTCTGAGGTTTCAGACTGGAAGCATGGATGGTTTCAAAGGCATAAGTTTTCAAGCCACGAGCAGAGAGTCAATACTTTTCTCTAAACCAGGTTTTTCTTCCATGAATAATGTTTTAACATCTTTCCAACTGTATTTCCTAAAGCTGGAATCAATTTGGGAGGGCTGACTCTTAGCATAAACCAGGGCCTTTCAAATATTCTATATTCCATTATATTCATGCAGGATAAAAATTCCAAACCAACAGCCTCTGTATTTGGGTGGCATGAGTCGCTCAAAGGGCCCCTTTATAAAATCTAGCATTTCGGAAGGCACCCATGTTTACTTCCAACGGAAAAATTGGACACAGAAGATTAAATCTTTACAATGAACAGCATCTTTGCTCCTTTCTCTTCTTTAGCTGCATCACTTCCCATCTGGGCATTCTGGCAGCCTGGGAGAAAAAACGGCATGCAAACTATGTCCTGTAGTTGCTTAGCAACAAGGAAGCAAATCACAGGGCCTTCTCTTTGCCATCAAAATGGCCAGATGGGTGTTCCAGTCTGTTGTTATAGGCATCTCTTCAATTGCCAACAGGGGCACGTATATTTATTAAACCTTGCATTTATTTGAAGGAGAGCATGTAGCTAACCCTGGCAGCTTAAAGGTGAGGCCTCCTTAACTTCAGCAACTACCTTATTCCCAGATCAACCTGACAGCTATTAAGGGCAGCTGTAATTACACTTTGCTCTATTGCTCTGTGCCTCCCAAACCACATAATAAATGGGACAAATGGGTAGTCTTGCAGTGGGAAAGGACAAGGAACTATTCTCCATCAACCTATAGGAGGGGTGTCAAACTCAATTTCATTGAGGGCCGCATCAGCATTGCGGTTGTCCTCGGGGGGCCAAGTGGGTGTGGCCAGGGTGGGTGCAGCTACTGGGTGGGTGTAGATGGAGTGGGTGTGGCCTACTGGGTGGGCATGGCCAGCTCTACATCGTTCGCATCAAGGGTGCCTGTGGGGGCCTGGGCAGTAGGGCGTGGGACCGGGGCAAGCGCCAAGGCATGATCCATTTTTTCATTCCTTACAAAGGGTGACACCTCCCCAGCATTCACCCAGGGGGCAGGGCTGACGTGGCAGGGGCTGGTTCCTCGCTGTTTCTAGACGGCCTTGTGGAGCTAAGACTGAATGCGTTTCAGCATAGATGGCCACCACAAAATTGTACATTGGCCGGCCTGGCCAGGGCCAAGGAGCGGGGGCCATTCCCTCACTGTTTCCAGGATGACTTTGCGGGCCACATGAAACCACTTTGAGGGCCGCATCTGGCCCCTGGGCCTTGTGTTTGACATGTCTTACCTATAGCAAATGTACAAGTCAAAAGGTCCATGTTGTGGCTTAAATGGTAAAAGTTCCAGGCTAACAAAAGTTTGGCTTTAGCCTGCAATCCAAAACACTACCATATTTATCAAAAGGATAACTGTGAATTTAAGTTGACTTCCTCACCTCAAAAAGAAAGATGAAAAATCCATCTGCTTCCAATACAATATTCTCAATGTAAGATGGTCCTCATATTTAAAGGGAAAATATTACAGTAGGGCAAGTCCTAGTTTTCTCTTTAGGTAAACAGACAACTATAATGCCCAATTACAGAATGTTTCAATACATGCAAGTATTTTAAAATTCTTTGTTGTGGGCCCCAATATTCTGTAGAAAATTATTCTTCATATTAAACACTTAGTCTATGATTAGTAATAAGGATACTGCAGATGACTTATTGGTCTGAGTTTCTGATCTGAATAATTAAAGATTTGTGTCAGTTGAAGCAGCACTGTTTGCAGAAATGGGAACAAGCAGGAGTATAAATTCAAATATTTTCTTTCTTACTTGCTATTTTCCTTTTACTCATTTGCACACTCTAGCCTATTTACTTCAAGAGATTTACAAACCATAATGGGTGGATTCACCCAATTACAGAATCAAAACGAAGCAAACCACATTGTCTTGATGTGAAGTATCATCAAGTATCATATTACACTATATGATATTGTGCAATGCTGTTGATGATGATGATTTTCCCTTGATATCTGTTAAGATTGTATCTGTAATTTGTATCTTGCCATGGTAGCCATGCTGAAACACAACAGAAGGCAAACCAGTGCATCCTCAGGTAAAGGAGCATGGTAAAGGCACAAGCAACTAGAACTACTCATGAACAGTCTCAAATAAAAACTTTACTTTCAGTCCCCTACGTTACAAGGATCTCAGGAATGGTCAGATAAGGCTTCAGGGATTTTGTACTGCTTTCTGCACTGCAAGGACTCGCCCCCACTCTTAGCACCTCTTTCCAGCCTAGCTGGAGATTCCACAAGGACAGAAGAAGACATCTGGATCTCTAATCTAGGTAAAGTTAATTGGCATCAGGATCTTGCAATCAGAGTTTTTATTTAATAGTATTTCTATTCTGGCCTGTGATATCAAATTCCATCCTTACTCTCTGTACAGAGTGGGCCAACTTGCCACGGCCAATTCACCGTGGTCGACTTGCTGCAGGACAACTCTCCACGGCCAACTCGCTGTGGGATAACTCACTGTGGGGCAATTTAACAATTCCATTTAATTATTTAAAATAAATAAAAAAATATTTTAATTTTTGCCATTCACATTTCATTCTGTCCCTCCTTTTGCATACTTTCTTTAATGATTCTATCCCACCATTTCTTTGATATTAGTGTAACTCTTGTCCTGCGGCGAGTTGGCCACAGTGAGTTGGCTGTGGCAAGTTAGCCGTGGTGAGTTGGCTGTGGCAAACTGTCACAGACCCTCCCTGTATGCTTGTGGTTTCCACTACCTCCTGCTCCCACAAGTAATTCTGTTCACATTCGGGAAACAATTTACATGGCCTCTTGTGATCATGGTAATACATAAACTGACGGGGACAAGCAGAAGTAAGAAGTTTAGTTAGCACTACTAGGCCTCTGGCCAAGAATACAGGCCTTTAGAGTCAAGAATTTCGGTCTTGCATATAACTGCTACTGACTGCCAACTCAAGAAAGACAGAATGTAGTATGTGTGGAAGGAAAGGGAGAATAAGAACAACTTAATGCCATATATAGCATTTGAATGATATTTGTATCACAGAAATTAAAAAACTGTTATGTTCCAGAATTTTCTACTTTGTTTTTAATCCAAGAAATTGAATTCCTGTAAGAGAGAAAGAGGAAACACTCTGGAATATATGGAGAACTATCTTTCAATATAAGGCAAAGTCCACAACAACAGTCAGTGCAAAAAAGGCAAATTTATTATCTAGACGACTAATGTACTCAGAACTTTTAAGATTGCTACTATAATGGGTTTAAAATAGGAGATAGAAGGGAAAACAACCAAAAATCAGGCTACTTTGGATATTGATTTAAAAATGACAGGCTACAAGAAAGATATTGGCAAAACCGTTAAACAGGACTTACTGTACAAATGAAACTGGCTGATCTTTTAATAGTTAAAAAAGACTCACAAATAATAGATCAGAAGAGTAATTTGGATATGTGGATTTCAACTTAGAAAAGTGACCTGGACAATTTTTTTATTGTGGATCTACAAAAGATGTGTTATATTTATAAAGGAGTTTGTGAGAAAAGATAAAGAGAACATGAAAAGAAATCAGCTACTTAAGAGGAATAAAGATCAAGACTTTTAAAAGCAAAAAGAAGGCTCATAAAGCTAACTTTTACAATCAAGGATTTTATATATGTGTATGAATATTTTTTTGTTATTTTTTAGAGACAGTGATAAGCTTATGTTAAAATTGAAGCAGAGTGTTAAGCTTGCGAAGGAGTTTCTGAGAGAAAATATAGAAAAAAGATAAATTAATTAATATTTTAAAATATTAAAGATTAAGTTTTTCAATATATTGTTTCTGGTAGCTTTTAATGGAATTTTTCTTAAGTTTGAATGACAAAGCTTTAAAAATTCCTTTATAGAAATGAGATATGATACGGGAAGGGCCTTTTGTAGTATTTTTAGAGAAAATTATGAATTACTGGGTTAATTAAAGGAAAGGAACTCCTTTAGGAAAGGAAAGGAAAACAAGTTGGTTTACTTGTTTAAGATTGTGTGTGTGTGTGTGTGTGTTAGTAACTGAATGGATTTTTGCTGATTGAACAATGAGGCTATATTATTTTTTAATAGCTAACAAATGAGATATGGGGTGAAGAGATTTTTGGCTGAAATGTTAAAGAAATTAAAATACTAAACTCTCGTGCAATTATCTTCATATCTGTTCCAATCTAAAGTGACTTATAAGCGGAATGTGTTTTTTCTTTGTAAACTCCTACGTAATTGTTTTGTAAATCTTTAATACAATCTTTTCCCTTCCTTCAAATTATTTTTTTCTTATTCTTTAAAAATAAATTTAAGTTTATGCCTCTCCTCCCCTTCCCAAATTAGCACATACCAAGAGCATGAATCTTATTAGTTTTGATCTAAACATTTAGATCAAAAGGAAGCTATCAGGGCCAAATAAAACTGTATTTAATGAAATTAAATTTTAAAACAAGTAAAATATTTATTTACTACCTATGTATTCATTAAGTACCTTTTTTGTCATGCTGGATTTAATCATGTAGCAATTTTTACAGAGTTGCTGGGGTTGCATACAAAGCTTGCAGCTGCAAACAACTCTGGCACCTCAAGCCGTATACTTGAGAATCTTTTCCAATGTACTACAAAAGTGCTGGTGCAGGCTATGAGAGCACTCCATTTGGACACACACATAACTGTGCCAAAGATTTGTTATACTATATATAGGAGAAGAGCAGGCAGAGCTGGGGGGCAGAGTTAAACATGTCATCAGTTTAGAGCCCTTGTGTTGCCACAAAAGATCCAAGTCTATGAATTGCATTAGCCCTTATCTAGTGCCAATTAGTGCTGATTGTTAGTTCACTAGATTCTTGTGTATAGGCTTCAATAAATTGTTTATGTTGCAATCTACACAATGGTCCTGGTTCTTTGTGCCTGACTTGGATAGGACCAAGTTTATACAGATCTATAATAATTTAAAACAGATATTAATCTGGAACTATTAGTTGTCAGGTGTAGAGTAGAAAAACCAGACCTTACATTAATATGATAATTAAATAAAAAAATATTTGTTAAGGCAAAGAATCAGGACCATTTGTAAAGTTTCAGCATAGATTTATTCAAATCTATACACAAGAGTCTAGTCAACTAACAGTTAGCATTAAATTGGTGCTAGATAAGGATTAAAGATGCTAAACTGATGACATCTTTAACTCTACCTCTGCCTGCTCTTTTCCTACATCATATTACTTAAATGACCACATGTGATCCTGGAGCCTACCACTCCAAAAGTTGACTAATACTACTGCAAATTAGTCTGCTATGTTACTTGAACTGATGAACAAATAATTCTAGTATCCAAAATTTTAAATGTTTTTTTTAATCGGCATTTAGAATCTGAGACACATCACAGTCCTGTTTCTATGGTATCATTAATTTTTAACTTGCAGCCCTGTTTATTTACCTGTAATGTGCAACCAAACACACCAACCATCAACATGGCAACAGAAAGATAGTCTGTAAATACATCCCACCATGGCTTCAAAACTCGGAAGGCTGGCTGCTGTTCAGAGAACTGGCGGAATTCAGTGATGGGAATCATTGTTCTGAAAAAGAACAAAATGTGTGAAATGGTTACTTTTTTAATATGAAAAATATGCATTACTGTTTTATTCAGTGCAATCCTAACATATATACATACATAGAGTCACTCAGTCTAGATAACATTTTCTAAAACTTGGCATGTTCCAGATGTGTGGATTTCAATTCCCCAAATTCTCAGCAGTGGTGATATTGGGGGATTCTGTGCATTGAACACTATACATAAAGAGAAAAGCCAGGGTAGAAACGATAGTCTAGAAGTGGTGATGAACTATGGCAGTATTAATGTTTCCCATTAGGGAATGATTGATTGCTCAATGTCTCTTAAGAAAGGAATTCATCAGACTCTGCTTCAAACCCGGACGTTGTCTCCATGACTAGCTAATCAAATCAGTAATCAGAACATCTATATTCCAATCTGTCTCATTAGGCTTCTACCCTCAACCTCTTCTACTCCTTACTTAACTTACAAATTCAAAATTCTGTTTTCACTCCACTGACCTGCCTGAAGTACCTCATTTCAGAATCAAGTGCCAGCCCAACTGGGAAGACTTCTATTAGTCATTTTGGTTGCAAGCCAAAAGTAGAAGTAATAAATGCTAGATAAGGATCAACAATAGGGACAGCAAATTTATAGACTAGTTGTTTTCTGCCAATTCAAAAATGAGTAAATAGCAATTTAAATCAGCAACGGGGAAAGTCCCAGACTCTTCCTGCCCACTGACAACAGCTATACGGGAAGAAGACAAATCAGGAACATACAGGACAGTCAAATAAGTTAGAAAGGAAGGGAGATCCTTGGAAATACGACTTGATGACTGAGCAGGAGCAAAGGGAAAGGAGCCAAGATAATAAAAGCTTGGGACCCACTCTCTCTCTTTAACATTAAATCACAATTTGAATGAATTATAGCTGTCTGTGATCAGACAGAGAACTAAGTCTTAAATTACGTTTTTCAAACCTCAAATTTGCATTCTAAGCTGTTATTTTAAAATCTACCAGATAAATAAATTTTATCTATTTGATATAGATAAAATTAAATTATATATAAATCGATGTTTTGCCCATCTGTAAATCTGATCAAGTCTTCTGACATAATTAGCTATATAGAAAAATAGCAGGATCCTTTTATACCGCAAATGTTGCTTCTGTCCCAATTAACTTGAATCTTCATAAATTTTTTCCCAAGATTACATTACACTCAACTCTCCGACTGAGAGGGTTTGCTCTCCTATGTTGTGCCATTGTTTATGAAGTAGTCGTTTTGTTTCGCCAATGTACAGATCTGCACATGTCTCACTGCATTGTACTGCATATACCACGTTGCTTAGTTTGTGTCTGGGTGTTTTATCCTTGGGGTGGACAAGCTTCTGCCTTAGTGTATTCTTGGGTTTAAAGTGTGCACATATGTTGTGTTAGTTGAAGATCCTCCTGAGCTTTTAAGATATGTCCAACCCAGATGGACAGTGACATGTCTCAGAAAACTAACCAATGGGTGAGAAATCTGTCCCAAACAGAAAAGAATGTTTTAGCCAAAGGATTAAATTTTGCAGTTAACACCAGAACAGCTACCAATTGTTGTTCTCCTCACAGCCACAGAGTTCAGCCATCAGGAACAATAAACTGACAGAACCAGAGGCAGAACAATTAAGGATGAGGGTATCTGCAGCCCTTGCCAGTGCCAAACACCCCCTTCCAACCTCACAATTCAAGAAAGGAGATCAGTGACATCCCTAGGAAGACACCCAAACATCACCATCCTGCCAGCTGATAAAGGAAGATGAACACAGATGACTACAAGGCCAAGATGAACAGTCTTCTGAAGGACACTGCTAAAGAGAGCCCACCAGCAGTTACAAGAAAAAGATCACTGATTTCTTGCAACGCCTACTAAAGGACAATGCAATCTACAAGCCACAATATTACCGTCTTTACTTTGGGGAAGCTACCCCGTGCATATATGGACTCCCCAAAATTCACAAAGAGGGAACTTCACTCAGACCAATCGTCAGCAGCATCAATTCTGTCACCTACAATATTGCAAAACATCTAACCACCTTATTAGCTCCTCTAGTTCGCAACACCACAAATTATATCAACAATTCACAGCACTTTGCCAGCAAGGTTTGGAAACTAAAACTGGACCTGGTTGAGACCATGGTTTCCTATGATGTGATTTCCCTCTTCACCTGCATTCCAACAACTGAAGCTGTCATGGTAGTGAAGAAACGACTGCTGCAAGACAGCACTTTTGGTGACAGAACCAACCTCAACCCAGACCACATATGTGCCATGCTGGACCTCTGCCTGATCACTACCTATTTTAAATACAATGAAAGTTTCTACAGACAAAACCATGACTGCATCATGGGTTCGCCTGTGTCCTCCATTGTGGCCAATCTCTACATGGAAGAGGTAGAAACCAAAGCCCTAAATGCCTTCACAGGAATTCCGCCCACTCATTGGTATAGGTACGTGGATGATACTTGGATCAAGATCAAAACACAGGAATTGGAAGCGTTCAGCAAACATATCAGCTCTGTGGCCAGATACAGTGGGGCAAAAAAGTATTTAGTCAGCCACCAATTGTGCAAGTTCTCCCACTTAAAAAGATGAGAGAGGCCTGTAATTGTCATCATAGATAGACCTCAACTATGAGAGACAAAATGAGAAAACAAATCACAATGTAATTGTACCCTTGCTATCCTTTTACATGTTGCTATATTTTCTCCAACAAATGGGATCTTGGCTGGTCAAAAATTGACTAAACCATGATTTGCTATTCTTGCCTTCAGTCTGTAACAGCAGCAAGGTTATTGATAGGTCAATATTGGAAGAAAGATTCGTTGCCTACTATAGAAGATTGGACACTTAAGGTTTCTAATTTAGCAGAAATGGCTAAAATTGCTGCTTATTTAAAAGATCATACACAAGAAAGATATATTATGGTATGGAGAAGATGGATAGATTATATTCAGATTAAATACGGAACTAAAACGTTCCGTTTACTTTATGATTAATTTTTTTAAAATAATTATTAATAGTATTTTATGATGGAAATTATTTAGTTCATTTACTGTTATTATGGTTCTTTATAATGATTGTTTAAAAATGGATTTGTTTATGATATAATGATATTAATGTTTAAAGGGAGTTATGGGTTAAGTATGAATTTAATTATTGTATAATCTGCTAAATTTAATTAGATTATGTTTTAATATATTTGGTTAAATTTAATTAGATTATGTTTAATATGTTTGTAATAACCCTGTATTTGGCTCTGGGAAGTGGGGGGTAGGGGGTGGGGATGGGTGGGTTAGTGGGTTTATTCTTTGTTAATTATCAATAAAACTTTTTAAATAAAAAAAAATTGACTAAACCATGGTTTGCTATTCTTGCCTTCAGTTTGAAACTCCCATTCTCATTACATTTGATCTGGTGTAAGTGTTGAAATTGGCACAATCTCCCTTTTCTCCTTCCCCCGAGATAACTGATTTTTCATCAGATCAAAGTCCTGAAATATTACATAAAGATTTGGAAAGGACTTAGAAGTGGGTTACTTTGCAATCACGCCCAATAATCCATGTAGCTATTGTACAGCTACTCAAAAGGTATAGTCTGAAAATGGTCTTCTGCTTGTTAGATATTTGAAAATATGATGAGCAAAAATATATGAACCCGGTGCCCGTGAACAAGGTACAGGCATGGACAACAGAAGCTTGGGGAATGGGGGAAACTCTCTCTCACCCTAGTTTGTTATATAAAAATGGTACTGAAGACTTGGGAAGTACAGTGGAAATTTTGTGTGAAGGATCCCATGATGGCATTTTGTCAGGAAAATGTAAATTTTGCACAACATAAAAAATCATAGCATGGGGACATCATACATCACTATACATCATGAGGTCTCTGTCAAATTTGTGTACCCAGAGCATAGCACATCATTTGTACATAAAGACTTATAAATGCAAGCTTCCCTAAATGATATGCAAAGCCATTACTTCTGGCTTAATGCCTGAACTGATTTCAGAAAATCATATGGGAATAGTTGCTAATTCGATAAAGTGGAAATTTTTGAATCAACACCAAAGTTATGATTCCACATAGTATCAGGGGGCATAATTAAACCCATAAATGGAGTCAAAATGGGATTTTGACTCTAGGCAGTGGGTGAGGAGATTACATGACAAAATGTTCTTTCTTAACAAAGAAACAGAATGTGAAGGAAAAGTTGAGAGATTTTTATTATCTACTTTTTCTGTCTGCTGTGCGTGAATCATAATAGAAGCAATCTGAAATAGTGTGGTCTGGTAATAGAAACACCATATTATTCATTGTTTCAAAGGATTGGTTGGTTATTCTGTGCATTTAAAAGCTAAATGGCAGTCAAAAACCTTAAAGAGAAATATAATATTGATAAAGCATTTATTCTTTTTGGTTTACACTACATATATGACATACTCCAGCAAGTATAAAATGCAGATGGAATTTCTGGTCTTCCTATTTGTATTAAAACTGTATTAGAAAGTATTTGTGGCAGTTTGCTGCCCAAATATACTTTTTATTGCCTATCCCAATTCTCAGGTCTTCCATTCCTAACCAAATAATCTCTAACCATTTTAGTATTGCAATTAGTCTTAGTTTTTAACACATTGTTGGCTAACACAAAGGTCATTTCCACTCTAGGGATTTAGAGCATCTCCTACAATTGTTCAACTATTGTGCCAAAATAACAACAGTGAAGTCAAGCTTTATATCACTTCAGTAATGTTTGGGTGGTGCTGTAAAGACACTATAAATCACTAAGAAATGAGCTACATTTCTTAGAAACTTATAGAATCAGTTACTAAAAGGCAAATAGCTAGATTACAGGTTGAACTAAATGCCTATGTTGTTTCATTTGATGTAGTTTTATTTTCCATTCAGATCACCTTTATTCTTCTCTAGGTTTATTTTTAAGACAAAGAAGAACCAGTTACTGTAATAAGCAAGATAACTGATGTCA